TCCAAAATTATTAGGCGTATCTAGTAGAAGAGTATGGTAAACTTATCAAAGCCTCAGCTAAGTTGAAATATCATGTCCCTGTGAACAAGATGGAATAACACCATTATTTGATTAAATAAGTTACCGTATATTTCAGTTGAACAAAGTAATGTTGAACTAATTCTTCTAAGATTTCAAACCGTATAAGGTGGCTTAATGAAGGAACCACCAACATTTCGAGAACCATCTTAGTTCTCGTCCAAAGGGCAGTGTAGTTTAAGTAATTGTGTCTTGCGTGTAACTTGGATTTAAAGTGGAAGAAATTTTTAACATTAATAATATTTTAAACATTTGTGAAACTTTATTTGAAATGGAAATAGATCTGTAATTAAAAACAAATGCGCTGTTGTCTTTCTCAGAAGTACGCAAAATAACCGATTGCTGGGACAACGAAGAAGCGCTTTCAGTTAATAAATCAAGTATGAATATATGGTAACATATTTCTTGATCAGAAATGTTCCGGTAGATCTGATTCTATTAATGAGTTCATGGATAGATGTTGTGTTTGGAACTGTGACGCCGGGAAATTTACGATAACATGTTCTCCAACACTTAACAACACTACCACATTACATATATAGGCCATACAGTTAACATAATTTTAAAGAGTACATAGGACCTTACACATACATACGCACTCATGCACACAGTGACAGCTACTTTAAGTTATATGAGACACAGCTGCACTCTTGTGAGAATTATTTTAGTAGGAGTTGCAGTAAGCTCTTGGCGATGAGTCGTTGAGCTCTTCCAGTAGTCGGAAAACGACACTTGCGTTCCGGTGTATCATTAAACGCTCTGTATGTAAAATATCTGGTAACCAAGTGAGGAAAAATATAGACATTTTGGGCTCAAGAGACGAAATGGCTGCATTAGCAACTTACGGCACAGTAGCAGTGAGACTGCAACTGCTGCTTGAAGGAAAGTGAATGGTTGGTTTCTATAGCTGTGATACTGGATACTGGGAACGACCCGTTCTTCAAGTGCCTGAACACTGCGGGTCCGAACTTTTCGTTGGATTAATCTATAGACATTCGGTAGGACTCTTTGGACGAGGAATCGGCCAGTCGCAATGTCTCTACCTGTACACAGGACAACACAACACAGAAAAACGCGGACAAACATCCATGGGTTGAGTGGGATTCGAACCCACCGTCACAGTGACCAATCGACACAAGGCCAGCTCCTCAGACCGCGCGGCCACTGTGAACCCAGGTGTTTATTGCACGATTGGTAAATGGAGATCGCATATTTGTTTATATTACAAGCCAGTTAATTATGATCTATTGCACATATTACTGTTGTTGATTCTATTCGTTTCAAAAAAGCTTTTGTTATCGTGTTACACAATTTCGTTATTTATGAAATTTACAGCACTTGAAACATCATATGAATACCGAATTTCTGTCAATCACGCAACAACGTAATGTGTAATTACAGCTCTGGCACTTTTCAAGGCTCACACATTGAATTCTGGGTCCTTCACGGAACATTTCTCAACGTATTTAGCTGAAACCAATAAGAGAAATATTTCAAGTAATAAAGTGATTGAGGAGTTTTGTTTGCATCTATTTCTTGCTGAAATTCAGAAGATGATAGTTCCTGAGCTAGTCAGAAAATTGTCCGCCTCTTATAGAACCCCAAGAATATTTTACAGTGCTCCTAAGAGCTAACAATATCTTGAACATACCGAGGTGAAGTGGTGTATACGGAGGACCGCGTTGAACACTTTCGTGAGAAGGGTTATCGCACGCCCGGAAAATGTCTCGGGACCCTGTTCGGTATACCGTTGGGGCCCGGAGACTTGCCAACCTTCAGTCCGTTGATGGCCTGAAGGACGTCGGTGTGACTGGTTAATTTCGGTTCACTTCCGTGTGCACATTCGAATGTTATCATTGCCTCGTTATCCACTTCAATAACAGCCGCGTCGACGGGTTTCTCACCGGCTGAAACTGGTAATCAAGTTTGTCGGCCAGGGCTTTCGCCTTCTCATAGTCGGAGGGAGCTACTCCTCCCGGCACTAGCAATGAAGGCGACGTAGTGGGGACTCGCAAAATCCGCTTTTTCATGTTTCAAATCGACTGCTCTTTACAGTCTAAGGATTCCAGCGTATCGCCCCACTGTTCGTTCCTTCACTCGTTAAGCCATTGTCTAATACATTTTCATAATTATATAACTTATATAATATTAATTTATTTCTAAATAATTTACTAAGTATTTTGTTCTGAAAAAAATAATTATGCCACTTTTCCGCTGAAAACAAATACTCGTAAATTTGCTACAGAAATTGTGGATGAAAGGTTTACAATTAAGTGCTAAATAAGACACTTTTAAGGAATATGGCTAATGCATGATATATGGCCGGTTCGCTAATATATTCATATTTCCACAGATTTTCAACAGAAATCAACAGCTTTAGATCACAAACTTCAACCACATTGTGTTTAGTGTGACAGGTAGTCGCCAAACTGCTCGGAGAAGCGTGCTTATTTATAGGTTACTTTTCAGTAGCTAAAACTGCATGAGATGAAAAGTATAGGATAGGATAGAAATGAAGAATTCTTGGCCTAATTTAACCTACTAACATGGCATTACCTACAGGGACCAAGGGAATCCACGGAAAACCGGGATAGATGGTTTCCGGGCCCAGATTTGAACCCGGGAAACGAGTACGAACTTCGACCTTCGTGGTCTTACGTGATATCAGGTGCAACTTTAATATCAGGTGAACAAATGAAACAACGTGAATATCACTTTTAGAACATAGTTTAATGTGTCATTAATGCACATAAACACTAATGTATTAAATTGTTTAGGGCTGCATTTCAAAGAATTTTTTGTAATTTTATATAGTGTAACTGAATTTTATATCAATATTTGTTAGATGTCCTTTAGATACAGATAAAAACAAAATATGCCATGTGCAGGTTATATAGCCAAACTTTCCCCAAAACAAAACCAATTCGAAAGATATTGCCTTCTTGCGAGTATAACATGCGAATATATGATTTCTTATAAGAACTTCGTGATACACCTGAAGCCTTCTGGCAACACACCGGTTTCAGAATCTTGGTCCAGACACAAATACCAGTTCTATACTGAAGCGTGAGAATAAGTCTGATGTGTTTTGGTAACTTAAAATTATCGCAAGTGAAACAAAATTACATTCCGAAATCAGATAATTTATTTTAAAGACATGCATTCAGGTATGTAAGTAATTAAAAGAAACTTGCATTTATTTTTGATACTAGTTTCAGAAATTAATGTGAGAACACTGCTGGAACTTGGAAACACCAACCTTTAATGAGACGTGGCAAAGCATCTTTGGCGCTCTCCAGGGCACACGTGTTGAAATTCTGGTCCTTAATGGAGCATTTCTTTACGTACTTAGCTGAAATGAATCAATAATATCTGTACTGTCATCAGAAGTTCGGAGTATACACTGGTGACTTCATCCATTCAAAACAAAGATAAACAAATTAAAATTAAAACTCGAACCCTGCAGAATTAGGAAAGTTGTTAATGAAAGCGTGAAGTTATTGGAAAGAAAACATATTGATAAACTGGTATTAGACTAGCTAGTCAATCCTAAACCATTTCTGGAAAACAAAGTTTTATTGAAGTATTTGTAAGAACCCGTCATTGATATAGCAGGTGATTCAAAAAGAACTTTGAAAGTGTATAGAAATTTAATGAGAAAGTTTAGAGAATCGGTTGAGGTGTCATTTTGTAGCAAACCAAATCAAGTTTGACACACGTAGTATGTAGTACTGAATTCCGTCACCGCGAGCGCAAGCGGCAGTGCATTTAAAAATGGCTACTTTCACAGGTGCGGAGCGCGCTCGCTGTGTGCTGTGGTTTGAAGAAACGAAATCTGCGACAATGGTTCAAAGTCATTTTCGCACCCAGTATGGTAAGGATCCTCCCAGTAGACCTACAATTTACTCTTGGCACAAGAATTTTGTTGAGACTGGTTGTTCTGTTCGCCATGACAAATCTACAGGTCGCCCGCGTGTTTCTAGTGCTGTTGTGGAACACGTTCGTGACAGCCCCGAGGTGAATGTATTTTGTGCCCTTAGCAAAGTTAAAGTGTACGGCCCGTTCTTTTTCCATGAGAGAACCATCAACGGTATCGTGTATCTGGATATGAACGAAAATTTTTTCATACCACAGTTAGACGAAGGTGACCAAGAAGGACGCATTCGTTCCAGCAAGACGGCGCACCACCTCACAGAAGTCCGGGATTTCCTCAATAAGAGTTTCCCAGGTCGGTGGATTGGTCGAACAGGGCCCATG